AACGCAGCGGTAGAGGTGGGGCGAGTAGCAACCGAGACAGACACAGACTGAGACGAACACACACAAAGATACACAGAAACGCACGCACGCACACCAACAATCAAATTGCAGGCGCAGCCAATAAAACGCCACTCAAAGAAAACATGCGAAACACATTAAAAGCAATAAACAAATCAAGCAGGAAGCACAGTAAAAAAAAGAACTACTAAAAAAGAACAAAAAAATACTAAACAAAATAAAAAAAGACTCCAAGCTCATAAAATGTTAAATTGAAGTGAAGCTAAACTAAAGTTGCAATTAGGGAGACGAATTATTTAGTTTTTAATGTCGATGTCATAAAAAGTGCTAAACAAAGCGTACACACGGCTAAAAACTAATTATTACGCAAATTTTTTTTCTTTTTTATTTGTTTGTAGACAAGATTAAAAAGCATTAACAAAGTGTCAATGACACATGAGCATAAAACACTCAAAGGGAGAGCGAGAGAGAGAGAGAGAGAGAGAGAGAGGCATATAAAGAGGAAGCAAAGATAAGAGAAGTGTCGTTGGCGTTGACACTTTAGCTGTAGTTGTAATTGTAGTTGTCGTTGTAGTTGTAGCTGTTGCTATTGCTCTCGTATTTGCCTTTGTACGATGCACTCCTTTCTCTTTCACACATACATACGTAGCAAAACATTGCAAATAATTTACCGCAACTTTAACGCCTCACCGGCGCCGCTCTCGTGCTTGCGCTCTCTCTCTCTCTCTGTCTCTCTATCTCTCACTTTCGGGCGTTAGCCGCTCTCCCACTCCTATGCGCTCGCGGCGCTCGTTTCGCATTGTATTTTTAGAGGTTCACTAACTTTAGTGCTGTTAAACACACAAATGCGATGCTTGTGAGTATGTGTGTGTCTGTGTTTTGTGTTTGTTAAGTTTGTTTTGTGGCGGTTCGCTTAATTAAATCTCTAGCCCTGACACTTTTTTCATTGACAAGGCAACCTGCGCCCGAAACTCCGAACAGTCGAAAATAGCAAAAGCCACAACAATAAATGCGAATTAGGTTTACGAGTGCTCGTGTGTGTGTGTTTTGTGTATTTACGCTTTCGCAAAAAAAAAAAAAAACATTATAGCAGCTAAATTTTTGCTAGCGTAAGCAGCAAGCGACGCTACATTGGGAAAGTCAATTCGCCGCGTTAAGCGTAAAGCAGGAAGGGGAAAGAGGGTGGGGAAACGACCTTGGGAAGCGGCGCGTTGATTTTTACAATGTTATTATTGTTGAAGTTTGCCAAGTTATGCAGTTTTGTTATTGTTGCTGTTGTGTGGGCTGCTTATTTAAGTCGTCTCTTTTTGTTTTTTTCTTTTTTTTTTTTTTTTGGCATAAATTAAACAGCGAAATTTATTACTTTCAAATGCGCCGTGTGAAAATTTCGCGGTTTGCCAAGCAAAACGAAATTAAAGGTGTTTGCAAAAAATAAATTTCATAACTGGTTTAAAGCAGCAATCAAAAACTTAATTAAAACAAATAAACCAAATAATGAACTGCAAACATCTAAAACGCTTCAAATATTTCCTTTTTCATATATCGCTCTATCTCTCTTTTCTGCAGTCATCTGTCTCTGTTGTCTTTTAACCTCGCCTTTAGTTTTATTATTTCGGACATCCAATCAGAGCATTTGCCCACACCACGCTGTTTGCTTTTACCGTTAACAGTAAATGTTCCGCATTAACATGCACATCTACATACGACAACACACACATACACACACACCTTTGACTGTCGCAGTTCAGAGCTTTAGAAATCCATCAAAATTGAGAAGAGAAGAGAATTCTCTGTGACTCATGCGTCGCTCAACGATAAGCAACAATAACAATTAAAAAAACGCAGTAGAAATGGAAAAGGAGGAGAAAAAAAACAAGAGTATTTATCAATAAGCCGGAAGTGCAAAGCGCAGAACATACGAGAAATTAGTTGATAAATCGCATGAAATAAAAAAAAAACACTGCTAATATAGACACATAAAGAGTGAGAGCGAGTGTGGGATGAGTGATCAGGGGGAGGGGTGGAGGGTATTCCAGTTCGCTGCATAAATCAAAGTCATATTAAGCGAAGCGAAACGAATGAATTCGTAGAAATGTCAGTGACAGTGACGTCACAGTTTCAACAGAAAACAGACCACAGAAAACTGAATTAAATTAAAAGCTGTTTTAGACAGAAATTCCCCTTGCTTACTTTTAAGCAAGTTATGAATAAGCGTCAATGTGACGCGTCTAGGTTCTGATAAGCTGCGATTGCGTTTGCACCAGCACCAGCACCAGAAGACACTGACAGAAAGAGACGGAGAGATGGAAAAAGAGAGCTGCAAACCGGTTAACTGCCTGTCAATAAAACCAAAAATCCAGTAAATGCCTAAGAAATGACACACACATGCTCACACTTACACTCACACACACACACGCACTGCGCACGCAAAATGAACGAAGCGGAGCCAACAAGTGGACAGCAGAGACAGCAACAACAATAACAACATGCGCCGTTATTCTTGTAGTGCGTTCTAGCGACAAGTCACATGCATGCAAGAAGCAGACTGAATAAGCATCTCAACGGCGTATTACTCATGCTAATTCTACACAGACACACACACACACAGCCAGTGTTGGGCAGTAAGTATAATGAACTACTTAACTCAGAAACAAGTTGTCGCACCGTGGGCAAAGAGATACTTATTCTGTGTACTCTATATACATATATATTTGCATACTCACATACATATATATGAATATGTATATTGTAWTCGCATTGTTGTTGTTGTTACCACGTGCCACTTGCAGCTTAGCGTGGTAACACCACAAATGAGGTCGCCGCTAAGGAGGCGTGTAGACGTGGGCCGCAGAAAAAAAAAAATCTACTTTTTTTTTTTTTTTGCAAACTGGCCGCATTTCTTAGCCGAAAAGTTTTATGGAAGTGAACGGCACGAGTGACGCATGCGAAATTGTAATTTTAGACATTTTATTGACACTTTTTTTTTGTATTATTGAAGTTAATTGTGAAATGGGCAATCGAAAAGATTAGAGCAGCGAGTACATTACGCCATGACGCCTTCCACAATAGGCAATAGAGAGATATTGGCATAACATTAAATCAGCAGTTAAAGTATAGCTGCATTACGTGTGCCAATGGGAATTAGCTTTGCAAAAAACAGACCTCTATAAATATTAGACTTTTATATAACAGCCAAGTACTTTAAAAGAGAATTCAGCCTACAGTTAATAGCTGGAATATAGCTGTTTATTTTTGTGCCAATCAGTAGCTAAACTTTACAAAACTATCGAAAGTATTGGCTGCAAAGTCTTCAACTTGCAATGCAGCCAAACAAATAAAGACGAAGGAAAGAGAAGGAAAGTGTAAAGTGTAGAGTTTTGGAGAGACGTGTAAAAGAACTTGCCGTTGGCCTCCCAAGCGCAGCGCATGCCATAACAGAAAAAATACAGAAGAAACAGAACAGAGTGAAGCGCAACAACAACAACAGCAATAGCAACATCAAATGCTAACGGTAATCCCTAGAGTATCTATTTTTGTAGCTGCCGCTGCATTGTGTTTGTATCTTGCAGTTATAATTTTGAAAACTTGTAATTTAAATACAAAGTCGTGGCATTGTTTATCTCGTATTCCTCTCCCCCTCTCTCTCACACGCATACTCGTTCGTCTCTGATTTTTCAGGCAAGCATTTGGTTTAAATCTTTGATGTGATTATTATTATGATGATGATGATGATGATGATTATGCTTGTTGCTGTTGCTCTGGTTGTTGTTGCTGCTGCTGTTTGCCCTGCGGTGTAAATTCTAAAAGCGCGCGTGAAAGAGAGAGCTAGCGAGGGAGAGAGACAGAGCGAGAGAGAAAAATGTGTTAATGTGTGAGAAGAGCGGCACAGTGAAGTTTTGGTCGCCCAGCGGCCTAGCGGTTCGCAACTAATTAAGGCACAGCGCACAGAACGAGATACAGATACAGCCGAACAGATACAGATACAGATACAATGTACATATAGATGTATTTATGTACGTTTGTATTTATGCAACTCATCTTGGCTGCCAGCAGCAGTAGCAGCAACAGCCACAACTGCGACGCATTCAAGCATCAAGTCTAATGATTGCTAATTACAAGACAACAACAACAAACAGTACTCGAGAAGAAGAAGAAGAAAGAAAGAAAGGGGGAGCAACAAAGTGAACTAAACTAAACTTAAATTGTGAGATCATTGTGCCGTAACCAAATCGACTCGCTTGGACTTCAATAGAAAGCGGCCAACAAAATTCAATATTCAAATTGGGCAAAAAAATTGTTTTCAATATCTCAGATCTGATGTATGGCAAAAGCAACAACAAATCACTTTTTATAGCAAATGCTACAATTAAACACAAAACAGAAAGAAACACAACAATGAAATCTGCTTAAAAGCTAAACCATTTTTTACGGTTATCAACATATTTGTTTGTAAGTAATTTTAATTGATTTTTCGTCTGAAATTGAAATTCGTATATAGTGGAATCGTTTCATATATACATATGTATGTACATATATAGGATAGTTTTAAAAAGAAATGCGCTCTATAAATGAGACTTTAAATGGCTTTATAGTATTTGCTGATAGTTTTTTGAATAATTGAAATGATAAATTATTGAAAAGCTTTCTATTTCGTAGATTCGAACTTTAAACACAGTTCAATTGAAGAGTTTCGTAGAATTGTATATTTATAATTGCAGTTACTTTTCTCGTCCATTGCGCATCATATATAAGTTCGTATATTGTTTCTAATCTATCAACTTAGCTTAAGTGAAAAAAATACTGAGTGTTTTTTTATCTATTGCCTGGCTTTTGATTTTTGTTTAAAGACGCGAGTCAAGATATTTCAGTTTGTTTTCAGAAAACGCGCTTAAAATAACATTTGATTTTGACTGGGATAAACAATCGAGTTCAAGTGCCTGACCTTTGAACCATCTCATTGAAATATCGATTTGGACACTTACCTTATAGACCTGGCCGTAGGTGCCATTGCCAACGACCTCGATGAGCTCAAAGATGCCAGCCGGATCCTGCAACAAAGAGGAGACAAAAAAGGCGTTAGCAGAAATCAGAAAAGGCAGAAGAGAGAAAATGATGTCAAAGAACCAAATGCAATAAAAACAAACAATTGAGACAATAACGAAAAAAGGGGAAACGCCCAATAAGGAAAATATATGTATATATATATAAATCCTGATGCAAAAAGCAAATAAAGGCTGCCAGCCAAGCGTTGAGATGAGCTAAGAACAGGGCGGGGCACTTAACGAACAACAACAACGATCACAACAACATCAAGAGGTTTTCTCTTTTGTTTTTGTTTGTTTGTTTGTGTAAACAAATTATTAAGGCATAATAATACAAATAAGGAATGCGGCGCAGCGTTAAAAATAAAGCAGCATTTAATACAAATACAAATACAAATACCGTGCATACCCCCGCCAACTGAACTCTGACTATGCCCCTGGCTCATGTGCATGTCAAGCCATACAACAACAAATCGCATGCGAGTTCATTGACACGCAGCAGCAGCGGCGGCACGAGCGTGTCACGACCCGCTTGCCGGCAGGGGCGTGGGCTAAAGGCTAGAGGAAGGGTGCGTGAGAGCCGTGAGTGCCGACTGACAGCAAAGGTAAACGCCAATTAAAATAACAACAATTTCAACAGGTAACTTGTTTTCATTCTGTCAAAAGCAAATCGTCGTCAAATGCTCCAAATTCGTTAAATGACAGCGAGAGAGAAAGAGAGGGGGAACGAAGCGGAAAATTTCGTTTATCGAGACATGCAAAACATGAATTTTGACATGACATGAATATAATTGCAGTGAAGATTTACATAATAATTTAGTTTAGCTCAAATATAAGACATTCTTATTAGAATGTTAAGCACAGATTTCCAGTTGGCGTGACTGGCACAGATTATCGATTAGCTTTGTTTATGTTATACATTAATGTATACATATTTGTGTATATTATATTTATTTTGATTACGTGAACAATGGAATTAGAAACAGAATTGAAAAGAAACCATATTCCATTTGAGAAAGTTCTATAGAAATCTATTGGAGTTCCGACATGATAATCACATAATTATTAGCTCATCGATTGTTATAACTATCGATATTAAATTCATTTCACTATATATAAATGTATATGTCTTTCATTTCAGCAAATATTATCTAGTTTTCCCCATTTACCCATTACCAAAGACAATTTTTGACTTACTAAATCTATCGATGATTATAATGTAATATGCTAATTCGATAGTAATATTTAATTTATCATTTTTTGTTTGATTAGTTATTCTGATAGTAAATGCATTTTTTTAAGCCTCTTCGCAGCATTGCCTGAATTCCAGCCTATTGTTACGGAATGCTCTTTAAAAGCTTCAGCTGCACACATTTCAATAAACAACACATCTCACCTCACTTCACCTCCCCTCCCTCTAGCACGGCTTACCTTCGGCGCGGCCCCTTGAGACAAAAGCTGGTGTGCTGAGCGGCTCTTTGGGCTAACGGTAGCAGCAATTTGCAGGCAACTGCCTCAACGACAGGAATTATAAAAGGCAAAAGACAAAGCGTAAGTCGAAGTCGAAAAAAATAAAAAAACAAAACCACAAAGAGAAAGAGCAGAAAATGCAGAGAAGGAACTATTGAAAGCTGCCTTAAGTAGATTTATGGCTGCCTTTAAATGAGCCAACGTCAATATGCCTCCTCCTTCTCCTCCTCCTATGATTGTTCTTATTCCTGTTGTTGTTGGTTTTTAGTGTGTCAAACACACATGATAGAGAGAGAGAAAGAGAGGGAGAGAGCGCAAGCAGACGTCAGACTGGAAGCCAGTCAGCAATTACTGCTATTTATGGCTGATTACTTCACGTTGTAAAATCAATTAAAAATGCACAAAAAAAAACCACACGAACCAAGTGTTGCTGCTCCCCAAAGTATTCTCCCTCACCCTCACTCTCTCTCTTTCCCACCCATTTCGTGCTTTGCAAACCGCTTTATGACTCATTAGCGTTGACATGCTAAGGCGAAACAAAAACCTAACGAACGAAATGCTGCAGTTGTTGCTGCAAGTGCGAGGGATCAAGAGTGAGTGAGAGAGAGAGAGAGAGAGAGAGAAAGAGAGAGAGGGAGCTGTGTATGTTGAATTTTATGAATAGTTCTGACAACAGAACACGCTGCGGTTACAGTTATCAGTTGCGCTTGCCTGCTGACCAATATGCGCTGCTCTGCTCCCACTCCACTCGCATCTCTATTGCGTGCTCATTCCTTTGAGTTTTTTTTTTTGATGCACTCGCAGCGGGTATTTGCATTTTGTTACGAAATGTGAGCGAGGCCGTAGGAGCTTATCAGATATAATATATATAATATACATATATGAATATTTGAAATCTTATTTGTATTGCGTCTTTGAAAAATGAAAAAAGACATTAAATATTTTAAGCGAATCTAGTTGATTCATTTGTTGATATTTTTTTTTGCCATGTTTGTTTGTACATATTTCTTGCTCATCTGCTAGGGTATATCATCTTCCCCATATTTTTTGCAACGTTCTGTTGCCTGTTTGCCTTTGTCTCTGATTCGTGTTGTATTTGTTAAAAACGGGCACGAGTGCAACTAAAACTAAAACTAAACTAAACAACTCGCTGGCGACTCGTCTAAAACTTGCTGAAGTTGCTGTTGCTGCTGTAAAACTGGATTTCTTTTTGGCCGTATACGAGGCTTGGCCCAGTTAGCGTTGCAATGATATATATAAATATATATATATGTATATATAAGATTGTCTGTGTGCAACAAGGAGACTCACCAACAGGACTGACGGCATATCGAACGCCCATGCCCAAGCAGTTTTTTTTTTTTTGCATATGCATGAGAGACAGAGATAGAGAAAAGGAGGGGGATATGGGGGCAAAGCAGTTGCAGAAGATAAAACACATATGTAAATGGATATGCAGAGGCAATGTATGCGTGCGTGTGTGTGTGTGTGTGTGTGTGTGGGCTGTGACCAATTCGATTTGGAATGCAAAACATATTACCAAGCGCTTGAAGCTAAATAAAAATATAAAAAATGTGTCTAAGAGCAACAGCAAATTAAGCTGACGGAATGGGAAAAGAAACCAGTTAACATGCTCCGTGTAAGACGGAAACTAATGAACAGCTAAAGACGGTGTAAAAAAAAAGCACGTTTACAAAAGAATTATGAGTCTAACATTTAGCTGGAAAGATATATGTAGTATTTTTTTAATATTTAACAAAATATAATTTTTGTTGTTATGATGTAAGATTTTAACAACTTCCTACTTCAAGGTGTATGTATTTAATTATGATAACTAGATTTGAAATGAAGTGTTTTACACTTATATACCAGGTTAAAAATTTATAAGTACTGTAGTAGCACACACACACACACACACACACAAGCATTCAGGCACATTTCCATTTGTGCTAAATTATTAAATGCTTCGGATTTGCCCAGTGTATTTACCCAAAGCCATGTTGATTTAACCCACAAACGTACCAAACCCAAACACATGTGTGATTTGTTGATGTTGTTGTTGTAAGCAACAACAATCAAAAGCAACTGCACAAATTGCAGCACTCCAAAAACAACAAACACCAAATGTGGGCGAACACGTTTTTATCGCAACAAAGAGCCAAATGCAATAAACGTTGATTAAAATAAATACACACACGCACACACACATGCACCGCAACGCATTCAAGAAAAACAAAGACAAAGACTTCGTACGCGTGTGCCTGTGTAAGTGTGTGTGTGTGCGTAAGAAGCACCCGACACATGGCCATGCACAAATAAAGGCAATCAGCAAAAGAGCGCGACGTCAGCAGCGACTGCAGCGCTTATCAAACTGTAAAACGATAAGAAAACAAAAACAACAAAAAGCAAGCAGAAAAAAATAAATTAAACTACATTTGTACAAGAGATAGAAAGGGAAAGAATGCTCAAATACATGAATACACGCACACACACACACACACACACACACACACACATACATAAGTATCTGCATTACAGTGGTCAATCGCTAATTAGAACGAATAACTCTAATTGGTAAAGATTCATAAGATCCACAAACTCTATTAAATTTATATGAATAAATGAAAATCTTAGTATTAAATATTTAATTTCAATAATTTTTAAAAATTACTATTATCGAGCAACCACTGTACATAGATAGACACATCCACAAATAATTAATGAAATGACGCTGATAAATGCACTTATGTTGTTGTTTTTAGTAATTTATCAGTTGCACAGTTGCACAGGGCATAGGAGACATTAGAAGAGGAGGAGGAGGAAAAAGAAGCAGTGGCTTGGGCAGCGACAATAAACAGCCAAATGCCATTCGCCCCGGCGCAGCTTTAAGGACTGTGACCTTTTGTCAAGCAGCGCCTGGCTGCTGCGACAACAACAACAGCAACAAGAAGAAGAAGAAGAGCAATATAGACAACAAGCTGTATACTATTTCGGGGCACGTATTTCATTGTTTAATGACCTTTAAAAAGCCAACGCAGACGTCGGCGCCCACGCGCCTGCTGCGAGAAGGCCAACAGCAGCAGCAGCAGCAGCAGTTACAACAACAACTACTACTACTGATGGGGCCATCACACGCCTGCCATTTTTTTTCTCCTCAGTGCTTCATCATCATCTTCATGTCGTCTGTGCACACACATACACACGCACGCACACACATGCTACTGCTGCTGCTGCTTCTTTTAATAAAGTAAACTAAACAATTTTCATTCTTGTCTCGTTTTTGTCTCGTCTTCTTCGACTATGAAGAGCAGCACCACATGCACATATGCACATACCAATACACGCACATACACAGACATGAGAGGGAGAGAGAGAAAAAGAGTCAGTCGTCGTCGCAATCCACCTTATCCTCCAGCAACCCCACCACACTGCCCATCCACCCGCTGCAAGACAGAGTCAACAAACGGACACTCACAAACACACACACACACACACACACACATAGAGACAGGCAGCGCCGTTTCTCAACACTCGCAAAACTTTACTTTCTGTGGGTGCTGCTTGCGCCTGCTGGCTGACGCCGACGTCACATCGACGCGTTGTATGCCGCCCAACGTGGGGCGGCAGTGGTGAGTTTTCAGAGCTCTGTGGTGAATGTTTGCTGAAAGAGAAAGGCGACGGCGACGGCAACGGCAACGGCAACGGGTCGGCCAAAGGCAAATGGCACAAACAACGCGTGCGGCTTGTGCGTGCGTGTTGGGGGCATGTTCATTGAGAAATGAAAAATATAAAAGACAAGCGAACAACAACAACAGCGAACCATAAACAAGACTTGACAAAGACGCTGACACCGGCCGGTCACTGCTGCCGGTGGTGAGTTTGAGGCGAAAATGGGGGTGCTCACATTCGCACACATACACAGACACACACTCAAAGAGAGCTAGCAATCGTCAATATGCAGTTATCGCAACTATTATGTATTTATTATTTGCATTAAGAAGTTGTGTATGGAGTGCAGTGTGGAGTCGAGTGTAGAGTGGGCGTTGCCATAGCCCACAAGTTTGCAACAACAATTATTGTAAGCATAGGCAACTCAAGTTGGGAGAGTGCAGAATTCTTATTGGATTTTTGTATTTTTTTTATAATGGAACTAATTGAGAGCCAGTTTGATTGAAAGTGAATTTGTTGGGAGTGGGCATCAAACAGAGTGGGGTTGGGGAAGTCAGTTATTTAAGTGCTGCTGATAAGCCTCAAACGCGGAAATGGAATTGAACAAAAATAATACAAATTCATGCACACATGGCCACACCTTGCAGAAACTTTAAGTATTGTTGTTTTTTTTTTTTTTTTTTTTTTAAGAGCGGATTTTGTTGGAGCTGCTGCGGCTGACAACTTACCTTTAGTGCCGTCAAATCGATATCATCCAATGAACAATTCACCGATTGTGCCAGTTGTTGTTGCTGGTGCGCCATTTTGATTTGCTATTTTTTTGTTATTCTGTTGCGGCGGCGGCGGCGGCTGCTGCTGTTGCGGCTGCTACTTCACACACACAAACAAACACAAATCACACACACACGCACACACTGCTATGCAGGCTATGCACACCAACACACACTCGCACACATATACGCACACAGAAGCACTTTTTTTTTTCTTTTTTTTGTAAATATTTTTTATGCTGCTGCTGTTATTATTGTTGTTTATGATTAAAAACAATTTCAATTATATGCGCATTGCTGGAAAATTTAATTGACAAAAAGCACACCATTAACAATTAGCAATTTATTCATATATGTTTAAAAAAAAAAGCAACTATTTGACTAACAATTTGTATTTGTTGCTGACCATACAACTTTTCTCTTTTGTATGTATGTATGAGTATGAGTGTGTGTTTTGTGTGTGAGCGATACACGTATGTGTTTGTATGTGTGTAACGTTTAACGGGCGCGGCACGCACTTTTGCACAGATTTGAATTTGAAACTTTTCGAATGCAATTAATATTTGTACGAAACGAGATATTTAATATTCTTATTCTTCAGCGATTATTCACACACACAAACGGACACACGCACACTTTGCGCTCTTCGTTATACACACATACACTTGCATACGCATCCAATATACCGAGGTATACGTGTGTATACGTATGTTTGTGTAGGTAGGTAGACAGGAAAAAAATCTGCCACTCGCTCTCTTTGGCTTTTCGTTTTGGGACACAGAAATTTTGCGGTATTCTTTACATACTTAACGCGCACAGCAGTAAATCCTAATTGTTTTTTTTTTCTTTTTTTTTTTGCACAACAAGCACAATTTACAACAGACTTGCCTAATTTTCAGCAAGTTCCGGTTTGTACAAGTCGATGGAAAATATTAAATAAATCTATTCGCGAGCGATACGGACAAGCACGTCCGAACTCCGACGCAACAACAACAGAAATGTTACTACCCAGCTGTTATACGTCTGTTAGGAAAACATAACGAGTCACGGACCAATCGATATATTGACAGTATTTTGACTGTTAACTTAATACGATAGTATTTTTGTTAACATATTCGTTACTTCTGATAACAGTAAAATACATATATTTATTTTATTCCTGTCGTCATAGATAGACCGGCAAAATATAAAATACTTTTTGAAAACAATTTTGAAATTTGGAAATTTAATATGAAATATGTTATCGTGCTGTTATTTGAAGGTATCAGAAAAATATTGAAAAATACTGCTGAATACCAAAAGCCACAGGAGTCAGAAGTGCGTTGCTTAAAGTTGGCTGTGAGCAATTTGCGTTCTGTTCTCATATTTGCGTTTACGTTACGAATTTTGTATGTACAAATGAATTTAGTTTTAATGTAAAGGATCAAATAAGTGTATGTCACTTTAAAAATGTTATAAAAGTACATGAATGAACACTTACACTTAACCTTAAATAACTATAATTTGTATATTCAAATTGATTATGACTTACACATTTAAATAAATATATTAAGTCTGTACTTTTGATTTTATATCTATCTATTAATATTAAGTTTTTGAATATATGTGAAAATTGTATTACTTTTGAACTTATTAGAAATATTTTAGTTTGGTTTTATCTGGCAGTTGTAAAGAATTGTTTAAATAACTGTCGGTAGCGATCGATTCGTAAAAATATATCGTCGAAAATATAATCGAGTACTTTTGGCTTCTACCAATTATCGATAGCTCGATGCTTAGTTGCTTCGATGCTCAACTTGAACATCGGGCACAACATTGTAAAGCGAGATCGAGGGTTGACAAGACGTGCGTGAAACGAGCGCGGAACGCTACCGAAAATTTAACCGTAAAAGCAACGTATTAAAAGTGCCAACAACAATTTAAATACATATGTTCATAAAATAGCAACAAATAAAGAGTAAAACACAATGTCCAAATTATCCGTTGAATGCAAAGAAAACGCAATAGTTAAAACCGTCTAACTGTTTAGCTCTGTTTTGTCAGTTGTTGCTGCTGCTGCTGTTGCTGTTGCTCTTGTTGGTGTTGTTTTTGTGCTAATTAGAAAGAGTTGCGGCGTTGACTGCTGCGCCGGCGTTCTAATTGTTGGCCCAAAATAAAAAAAAAATCCAGCAAAAAAAAGCCGCGAAGCTGGTTTTGCGCATCGTTGTATGTATGTGTGTGCTTGAGCTTATGTGTGTGAGTGTGTGTGTTTGCATTGGATTTTGTTAAAGCACATTAAGGCCAAAAACAAAAGCAACAAGTGACACAAACCACAAAAATTCTAAGCATAAATTAATGTTCTAAAAAGAAAAATACAAAAAGAGAAATGTTGTAGAAAGAAAAAAGCTACTTGTGGCATTTTTACACGTTAATAAATTTCTTCAAGCTGAGATTCTCATATTTTTTTTTCGACTTTTTCTACAACATAACTGAAAAAAAAAAAACGCAGCAGCCAAAGAACGCCGCGCATAGCAAAACAACAGCAACAACAACAAACACAGCAAAAACAACAACAACTTTCCGGTTTTCTTAGCTCTCGCAGCGTCTCGTTCTTCTTCTGCTTCTTATTATTTTGTTACGTGTGTTTATTGATCTTCGTGGCTTACGCGTTTGCGAAGACAGCGAGAATGAGCGAGCGAGCGAGCTAGAGGGAGAAAGGGACGGAGACAGTGAAAATTTCAATACAAATAAATCATAATTTAATTCAAAACGCAGCACCACACTACAACAACATCAACAAGTCAACGCAGGACGCAGAGGAAAGTAAAAAGGAGAAACGAAAATTAGGAAAAAAAATCACGCCGTCTGTTAGTGTGTGTGAGAGGCATAAAGAGAGCGGAAACCGTAAACAAAACAAAAATATAATAAAGCAACATAATTGGAGTACAGGATTTTAACCAAACTCAAGAGAGAGAGGGACAGAGAGAGGAATAGCAAGAGCGGAAGCCGCAAAGTAAATTAAAGAAAATATACAATATATTTTCTATACAGGATATTACAATAAATCATTCACGCTGGATTTAGGATACTACGAGGCTGTTAAAGGTAAATTGAAAATTAAATACAAATATCATACAACATTTAACATTGATTATATATAACTGTTAAGTCAGTAAATACCAATCAGAATGAGTTATATTCAATAAACGCGGCCATAATACAAGACATAATAACATTTTTATGCAGTCAACGCACCTGAGCCGCGCTTTATGGCATTCAATAAACCACAAAAAAGAAATGAAATGAGAAAATAAAAGATAAAGAGCAACATAACATAACATACGAAACTTGTTGCATAACCCGCAACCAATTCGAGCCCAGTTGGAAGCTGTCAAACTGTACAGTTTGATTGGAAGGGCGCACATTGCGTGCGTTGCTGTCATAAAATTGCGAACGCTGTCACACTTTTCTTATTAGCATACGAAACAGGCAGCATTTAGAGAGAMAGAGTGAGAGAGAGAGAGAGAGAATGGGAGGGGATAGAGATAGAGCAACTGCGCAGCCCGCTTACAGGTGCTCAGCAGCGGCAGCTAGCTAGTTGGTCATTTAGCCTGGCTCGACTGGTAAGCTGTAAACTGTAAACTAGGCTAAATAGGGTCTCTAGCCAAAGCACGTTTTGGTCTTTGCTTTGTGGCCAGCTTGCTTTGGGGCTTGGTTTATTTTTAAACCGCATTCCGCGTGGCATTTTCGCCTGGCCCAGCCAGTTGGCCACTTGCACGACAGTGCTGCCAATTTAGCTGCTCCAAAGCTAGCTTCTTTTCTATAGGTGGCCAACAATTTTAGCTGTATATTTTATCTGCATACAACAAATAAAACAAGCTCATTGAATTAATACAGTTCTTATATGTTTTTAGATTATTTTTATTTTTATTTTTTTTTATATGTTTTACCAAAACTAACTGCTTTTCTGTGTTGTATATTTAACTTTATATTTAACGTTTTGATTACCCTAAAAATTATATTTACTTCTTTATAAAT